CAGCAAATTACTGTGCCCTGGAGGGAAAGGGTTAAAAAAAAAACAAAACAAAAACACAGATATACATAAATTTAAAATAATTCACATACATCCAATCCTAATCTATTTCCATTTTATTTCTAACACTTCAGAGGAAAAACGGAACGATCATAAAATTTTAGGAAAACGCATAGAAGAAACCACTTGCCACTTAGCACCTTGTTTTCACCAGGCTCGTGAGAGCCAGAATAACCTTGGAAGTACCCATACTGGCCTTGAAGCAGCAGGATAAATGCTGCAAGTCACATAATTCTGGTAACTCCCTTTGGTTTTGCCCAACAGTCAAAAACACGTTTCCTAGCTTTCAGCACTCTTGAGATCCCATGCTTTAGCAGGTCTCATCCAACAGTGCCCAAGAACAGCCTAGATGTCTGGATTGTCTACATTTAATAGGAAAAAAAAAAATATTCACATGAAAACAGAAAACAAGTGTTCACCTACTTATTTTTAGCAAGATGTGCGCTAAATAAGGACAATATCCCTGACCTCCTGACACATAACCTTAGATATGCTACAGAAAAGAGAATCCAGATGATCATTTTGCCTGACAAACCACTCTACAAAGTTAAACAGCCTGGATTTTTACAAGATTACAAAAAATTCCTTCACCATGCAGTATTTCTTCAATCAAAATGAGAAATTTATCTAAAGAAGTGTAAAGTTAGCTGGGGGAGCAGGGAAAGCAGAAAGCCAGGAAAACAGGAATTTCACAGACAGTGCTTGTATCCCAGATGCTGGAAGCAGCAAGTAAAAATGAGCAGATTCATCCTACCTTACCTTGCACAGCCAGGAGCTCGGTATCTAGCCTAAGCCAGTCATCTAGTCTCCTGGTCCAAGTGAGACTGGCACGTCCAGAGTGAGTCACTTTGTTCTAACATTAGCATCTAAGACCTGTGGCCTGAATTATGCTTAAGCCTTGTTTCATTATCCAAGCAACTCAAAGTCCAGAGAATAATTTGCCCATCGTGATGCTCAGTTAATTAAAAATGAAGAATCTTCTGCCCTGTGGTTATCATACAGTTAGGATATTTTTTCAAGTAGTTAACTACAGATAAATTATGATTCCAAACATTAAGTTATGAGTTAGAAGGCATAATCCTATCAACAAAACCGTAATAGTTACTTTAAAAAGCAGTATTAAACTGAGTAAAGTTCAAAGTAGCAGTAAAATGCTTTATTCATTTTCCAGTGAGCTCAGAAACCACAGAAACATTCTGAACTTCATCAAGCAAAGGTTCTCTTCCGCAAGCAGACATTCATCTGAAGTGTTCTCCTTGATTAGGCTGAAGCTTCAATCACCCTTTTCCAAATACACTGTACCTCCTCAAATACTGCTCTTAACTGCTCACATGTATACGTGAAGAAGCTAAACAACACAGCTCCGGGATCCTCTCCTACACAAATCGGTTATGTGTACAACTTATCTGTCTGATCAGTTAAAGGCAGACTGTTTGCTGGCGTACACAATTACTTAACAAGCATGAAAATGCTTCGACAAATGTCTGCCTACTCCTAAGAGGCACCAAGTTAAAAGAAATGGTCAAAGACAAGCAAACGTAACGTAACTGGCCAAACCAAAAGAAATCACATGAACAGTACTGCTGGAAAACGAAGACAACAAAAGTTGTTCCCCTCGCTATATTTCTACAAATTAAAGCATTTCTGACTTGCCATATAAAATAACAAAAAACTTTCTTACAAAGAGTATCATGATTCCTTGGCATGAAAGTCTAGATAACTTTCAAAAAACCTGTTAGTTTGTCACCAAAGCAAATACAGTATCTGTTAAAACCACCGTCCAACTCTTACACCACCTGCTGAGAGCAGTGTAATTCCAAAGAGTTTAGGAATAGTCAACCAAAAAACTTCCTGGATTAGCCAACAAGGACTTCACAATCAAAGTCATCTCAAACATCAAACCATGCTTTTCACCATGCTATATGGTATAAGCCATCTGTATTTAGGATCTGATCAACCACGTTCGAAGTTATGACCATGTTAAGCAATCACTTTGGATTAATGACATTATATACTTCCAGCCATTTCTCTTCATTTACAGCAGGAAATTTATAATGTAAATGCACACAAATATAATGTGATTAAATACCTTCTTTATCCTAAGCACTGTATTGATTTACTTCATCCTTTTGTTTGTTTGCTTTTTACTCTCCTTAGATTTATTATGATTATAGCGATGATGTAAAAACTACACATCTGACAAAGCAGACTTGGGAGGGATTTGAAGGCTGCATCTTCTAATTATTGGGTATCTGTCCTTCACTTGATCCCAAGAACAAAATCACGACAGAGATTTCCTGCTCTAACACAAGAGAGCAGATCTTACCCACCTCTTTGCAGACGCAGGTGATTTGGCCACAATTACAGCATTCCTGTAGTCTGGTATCTGTAGTAAATAACAGATAGCAATGTCTACTTCATATCTTTAGACAAATTTAAACTCAGTAAGAATCAGAGCAACTTTATTTTGCCAGAAGAATTTTAAGCATGGAACATTTTACCTAACATAAGAAAGCAACCTCAAGAATCCATGGTACATGATCAGAGTTCATAGCTCAGTAAAAACAAGTATTTAGAAAATTCAGATATTAACTTAAAACTGTACCTTTCATAAATACCGTGTTATATTACAGATTACACAAAAGTAACTGCTTTAGAAGAACATAAGGGCTACACAGACAAGTGTTAAAAAAACCAGGAAACCACCAAAATTAAAGTTTCCCGTTCAACTTAAATTGTCTTGTGTGTGCACGTGGCAGTCTTCAATCACTTGAAAACACAGCATTTCACCTATTTCCTAGCGTTTTTCAGAGTACACCAAAAAAAGTAACGTCTCTCCATCACATCATACTGACTCTTTATATGGACCATCAAAAGGGATAAAAATTCCGCATTCGCTGCAGTGACCCCGGAGTCACAGTCTAACAGTGCTGCAAACTGTCTTCTACGCAGATCAGCACGAGAGGGTGCTGCCGCCAACGACAACAGCAGCAAAGCGGTAAGGCCAAGAAGCCAGGGATTCATTTTGAGGGCTGACGGGTACTTCAGTCAGTCTTCACAAGCACAATCTACTCCAAAGTTTGCTGCCCCTCCCCCATTCTTATACTGGCTTTTCATCCCAGACTCCCCCTCTCCATTCAGCCAGCATTTTAGTCCCCATCTTGCACACGTTTCTTATCCTAGTCTCCATTTTCCCTGCAAACAGTGACTCCACATCAGGCTTGTTGTTCCTTGTCTGTAACTTCTCGAGCATTCCACCATTCACACTTCCAGTCCTCCTTTCCAACAGCAATCTACGCTCCCTCTAATATCTCGCCTTACCCCCTTCTTTGCAAACTCAGCCTTTTCCTACACCGCGCTGCCCTGGGACGACCTGTCTGCCACAGAGAGCAGCATACAGAGAACCTGTCTGTCCTTCCATCAGTTGCCACAACAGTAGCCCGCAGCCACTCTCAGCTGCAATAGCCAGCAAAGTTCTGCAGAGCAGATCTGATCCTCAGAATCCCAGTGTTAAGGGACGGAAGACTCTTTACTAAATACCTGCAAAATGATCTGTTACAGTTGTAATTTCACAAATTTGGGGGGGCATGATACCCTGACATGCAATTCATCGCCTTGCTGTCAGATGTCAAATAGCAGTCCCAGAGCATAGAAATACTTGGGGTTTTTTCAAACAGAAGCAAAGTAAAGTTCTTCCACAATCTTATCCTCAAACATAGAAACCACACTGGCTAAGTATTTCCAAAAAGAAAAAAGCAAGTTTGAATTTGAGCACAGGCCTAACCAACTGAAAACAAGAGCTTTTCTGAGGATGTGTCAGGCCACATTAATAATCTGCAATGCTACTAACTCCACCTATAATACTGGGAATTCAGCATGTTCTGTCCTTTACAAATACTTAGTTATACAACAGGCTACAAAGATTAACATGATGGAAGGTATGGACAAGGCAGGGCCTGTCACCTGACATAATAAAGGCTTTGATCTTTTTCAGACACCATTGCCTCATTTTTCCCCTGCCAAATTATCAAATTTGTTCTCAGCTCTTTAAAAATGAAGTCAGAAAGCCAGAAATGTCATCTAAAAGACAGTAAGACATCAACAACAACTTGTTACAAAGAGCTACGTCACTCTAAGATTAACATGTACGCACAGGAAAGAGAGAAGACACTAAGTATTGAACATTCGCTAAGCATACAAAGGAAAATCACCAGATTATTTTTATACCACATTAACTTTACTGATGGGAGTCATCTTCATCCCAGAACACCAAGCCATTTTCTTCACACCTGTGCATAAATTCCCAACAGGGAACAACTACAAGCCCTCATCCTCTTAACTTTCAGCTAAACACTTTTTAAGCAACCTCCATTCTTAGCAAGTTGGACTCTATTTCATGCTATTCAATACACACCATCACAACTCCCATTTGAAATATTTGTCATGCTTTGGCACTCACAGTGCAGGACATACAGCAAGCTGCTGCCACTGTGAACTTCAGATAAATGACTAAGTTCTTCCTGAGCAGCACTGGACGAAACTTTTCAGAAAAGATACTATATATGACCTGGCTGGCGAAGGTAACTGCCAGTATAGATCCCATGGGATCAGATAACTTGCTAAAACTGGAGTTGACTGAATGTATCTCACGGACAAGCAGAGGAATGAAGAAATTAAAAACTCAAAGTATCTTTTATGACCTCTCTACGCATACTGCACCAGATCTTTACAAATGTTCGTTTGTCAGACCGCACAGCAGTGCCAGGCTCAAAGCTGCAACAATTCTGTGTAAACCATGAAGAGCTGATGTATGAAAATGTGCTTCAAGCCTAAACCAGGTAAATGATCTTGTTATCAATCATAATCCATACATTCCAGCAACACGTAAAGGCACAACTTGTCTTGTGCCTGCATATTTGGTTTTCCTCCTTTTTTCTCTTTTAACTTATGAAGTGCTTACAATATGCAATACTTCTCTCCTGGTATACGAGATAAATGACTGTGGCAAAGCCAGAGCCTGGAGTTTTGTTCTGTCATCCTCTTTGTCTCTAGTACCAAATGAAATGGTAACCATAGATTCAAATGACACCTGATTCCCCAAACAGATTTTAACACTGTCGTAACAAAATCATGTTGGTTTGGTTTTGGGTTTGGTTTGATTTTGTTCTGTTTTAAATTGAGGCGTTAATCTCTATAAAAAGAAATACCTTGGATTCAAAAGTAAGAGTGAGCTAAACCTTTTCTCTCACCAGGAAGAAAGCATATGCTTTATTCCAAATTATCATTAGTCAGAGGCATAATATGCATCTTATACCCACAATTATCATTTGCACAATTTGTATATATGAATCTAGCAGTAGCACTTCTCAAAGCACTTATAAAAATAAGACGTAGAAATGGACGCAGAGAACATCAGAAGTTAAGCTCCTCAAGTCAAGACACGCTGAACAAACAGCAGGTGAAGATTTTCACACAAGAAGTCATCTGTTCTTACTTTCAGAGCATGATCGATAGGCTTTCCCATAGTTTAAAACTTAAATTCCAAAGTATTTTCACAATGTGACATAAATTACACCTACACAAGCAGCTCATCCTATAAATGTCAAGGAAACTGGAAATAGGAAAGGAAGACGGTATCAACAGCAGGAAAACCCTCTTTTTTTAATATTAGTTAGGGGAATATATCTAAGAACACACAACAGCATTGCTGCATGGATAAGAAAACGCCAGCTCTTCATGAAAGCAAAACTTAAGCCTGTGGAGAAGAAAGGAACCAACTGCCCCAACACCACTCGCTGCCCCAACGTGACCTTTCTCCCTTTAAAATTCTGTTTGAAGAGTTAGTCTTTTCAGAGGAATTTGTTTCAGAAGCCTTGAGACATGACAAAAAAAATAATTAAAAAAGCAACTGTAATAGCAGGCCTTCCTCACCTCTTCTTGGATGTATTGTAGTAGAAATGGAGATGCTCTCAAGTTATCAACTGGAATATTGAAGAAGCCCTGTATTTCCTTCTGATGTAAATCCATGGTAATGAGGTGAGTTAGTCCTTTTAAAAAAAAATAAAAATACATATGGAGAAGCACAACAAGAAAAGTGAGAAACGAGGCACACTCTTTATTTCTCCAGTAAGTTGCACTGAAGTTTGTCCAGAACAAAATCTCTAAGCTGCATTAGAACAAGAATACTATGCTCAGTGAAAGTACCTAACATATTAACTACGTCTCTCTTAAGGACACCACCATTATGATGTTTCGAGATTTCTACAGTGTCCTTTTAAAAAGAACCTCAGCACGCTCTAGATAATTGACTCAGTAGTGCCACACTGAGGCAGGTAAGATCTTTCTCCATTTGACGTGTGACAAAATGGAAGCACTAATAAGACAAATTGTCCTATGCCACATAGCAAGACACCAGCAGAGCTAACGCTAAGAGTTCTGAACTCCTGAAAAATGGGCCCAAATCCTAATCATCGAAACACTTCCCTCAAAATAAGAAACCAGATCACTGTGTTCATTGTAACTGCCCACTTTTCCCAGGCACAGGAGCAAAAGGAAAGGAGTAGAAAAGAGTATGTGTTGAAGGCTGTGAAAATGAATAATCTCATTCTCTCGCATCATCTCAAATGCAAAGGACAGATACAAAGTGCATTCATCCAACAGGTAAAAAACAGGCTAGAAATGACAAAGCACAACTGTTCCAGAGTGTTAGAAAAGCAAAGAACAGCATTATGAGAGAGAGATACCATGGCCCAAAGCAGCAGAGTCCAGCAGACTCATTTCGCCGGCTCAGTAGGACACAATGTAAAATTGCTGTTACAAGTTTGGGTGTTTTATGAACTCGCAATTTGGAAACACTTCTAATTACATTCTCCTTTCTATGTGGGTTTTACACTCACAAAAAACTTGGCAGTTACTTTCAGAGTCCCAGCTTGTGCACGGACCTCTCTAAACCTGCAAGCTAACAGCAGGAGCCCCCACTGCCCTGATTATTTCACGATAACCTGCATTCTTACCAGCTTTGCACATCATTGACGCCAGTAGTTTAGAGACAATGGAGCCTCTTTTCCTCATCTTGCACTGTTTGCTGTACGGGAAGTAAGGAATCACTCCAATAATGCTTTTGGCACAGGAGGTTTTACAGGCGTACACCATGATCAGGAGTTCCATGATAGTAGTATTCACATCCCTGGAACGAGAAGCATCTAGTTGGGTACCTCGTGCATAAAAATCTTGTATTCAGCACAATATCTATACCCGCTCCAGGGATTTCACTCCAGGGCAATGGAGAGTATGGTGACTGAGCGATCTTCACTATGCATCCAGCTGTGCACCTCAGGACAGCAAGTGCCCTGGATCCACCGTTTCAATTCTTCCCTAGAATTACACTTTTTTTTTTTTTCCCCCCCCTCACTCGGCTATTTTGGGCAGTTCAGCAGTTTTTGCTATACCAGTTTCAGGCTTTTAGTAACACAGCATGTTGCTGTAACAAAGTAGTCCATAATTTATCTCCAGCATCTCTTTCTACTGTGCACAAAACAAAATAGATATATTTTTCAACATAGATAAACTTTTATTTTTTAAAAAAAAAAAAAAGTTTCAGACTTTATAACATATTCCTCTATTGTCCAAGCCAGCAGCAGGCTAAATATTTAACAATTACCATCTATTTTCTACCATAAATTAAAACATTGACAAGATACTTTTTTTCAGATGAGAACTGGTCATGAACTAAGAGACCTATTTCTGTTGCCATTAGAAAAAAAAAAAGTCCTAGCATTTGTAAAGTTCTTTTCACATTAAAAAATTGTTTTCTGAATCACAGGACCCATTGCCTAGGAAATGCTCCTCTTACATATAGAGCTTTGTAACGGTGCTGGAGATGGGGTAGCTGAAAAGGGAAGAATTTAAAGAGTACAACATAAGCAAAAGAATGCACTTAGCAAAAGAACACAGAGACACTGGGGAAAGTTTCATTGACATGTTCACTGAAAGTGAAAATAACAGAGGTTAGCTTATATCAAAGTCTTCTTTGTGCACATATCAAAAAAAAACCCAAAACAACAACAACAAAAAACCCAAAGAGAAGCCTCTATCTGGTTAATCTAAGCTTATGATACTGTACTATACACATAAAATGCAAGGAAAAATTAAAACATTCTTAAGTATTCTTATGAACAGCCCATATCAAAATGCTAGCACAGCATATTTAAGCAGTTACTCACTTTGAAACTGTTTGGATGATAAATACATCCTTTCCTCTCACAGACTCCTGAATCTGCACTCTTGTTTCTGTCAAGAAGAGAAATATGTAGTATTTGCAACAGCAAAACTCAGAGTCTAGGAAAAGGGTAGCAAATACATGCACATCATAGACAGGTAAGTCTCCGGTTTTGCCAATTCAATACTCACCTCTGTTTGGCTCTTGATAAACCTGAACCTTCCCCATCTCAACTCCTAAGCGCCTGCAGGAGCAGAAAAGAGAAAAATAGAAGTCAATATGGGAAAACGAGAGGGAAAACAAATGCAAAGCCCATATAATGCAATAGTTACTGAAAAAGGTATATTTCACAGGAGAAAAACAAGGAAGACCCAAACCATAAAACCAGTAATTATACTGGAAATCTCTTAATAAAGCATCTGAATTTCCAAAAGCTGCGCTGCAGGCTAAGCTGAACTAATTTTCAATTCAAGCTCAGAAGGAGCAATGGAAAAAAATAATAATTTGTTACTAAATTATGTAACAATTTCTAATTTTTAATACGTATTTCTATATACAATCTCTACATATTGCCATATATATGTATATACACATGGCAACATGCACAATGCTTAAAAGACCACTTTTAAAAATCATTCTTTTCTACAGAAAAAAATGTGATTGAAGAGTGAATAGGAAATACTAGCAAGCTCCATTCGATGGACAATGGAAGACTAACATTTGCTGTGTCTATTCCACTTCTGTACTAGCACAAACCCCCATCACTAAAAAAAGGAGACTTACGCCCAAGTCCTTGCAACGAGTAACTTCAGTTCCTTCACACTTGCCTTTCTCCTCCTATTTCTATCTAATTTTGGGTCCACAGGCCTCAGGAAGAAACCCATCGTGTGCAATATTCCTGGTAACGTTTTGCACCCTAATACTGCTATAGTAGCATGGTAAAAATATCCTTAAATCAGAAAAGTTCTGCAGAAGCTATTAGCTCATTTAAAGCTAAACAAATGTCCCCATCTAAAAAATACAGGGAGCAGGACAGATGCAGCTTTGCCGTCTAAGAAAACTCTGCTACAAGGAGAACAAGAAAATGATAAAAACTTCTGCCATGATTCTTTAACACTATCCAAACATTAATTTGCCCACATACTGCAGCCAATCACAACCTGCCACCAAAATTTAAACACAAGTTATTTTCTTTGTTATCAATCTGTTGAAATACGCTGCGCAATACAGTACGCTAGATGTCAGAATCATAGAATCGTTTAGGTTGGAAAAGACCTTTAAGATCACCAAGCCCAACCATTAAACGTTCTTTTGAATTAAATGTTCTAACCGTTAATGTTCTTGCAAACTGTGGCGTTTTCTTATGTAACTTTCCTTCAACAGAGAAATCAGTCTTCAGTAAAATACATCCCAGCATAATAACACCAAGATCCTAAGCTGCCCTGCAGGGTTTTACTTACTCAGCAATCCTCTTCGATAGTTCCATGCATGACGAATTGGAATTAGCTGAAAACAGCACCAGTCCACCCTTAGTTATATTCATGATGGCCCCAATTTCAGTTGATGGCACACAAAACATCAAACCTAAGTTGTTTTTCCGCTTCTAAAAGACTGCAAGAGATCAAAGGTCTGTTAAAGCCACAACATTAAAAACAAAAAAGAAACACATTTTCTCCACATACCTAAAGAATGGGGGTTCAGCCTGCCTTGCCTGCCTTCTCCTGCCCCCAAGCTTTACATGCCCTCCAGCAGAATGCTTCCCTGAAGGCCTCCAAAGATCCCCCCCAGACAACCTCCTAAGTGCAACAGGGTTTTTTTCTGTTTTTTTTTTTTCTTTTTTAAAATGTTTTCCTCAGGCTATCACCTAGTAACACAGATTCTCTTTTCCGTCAGCTTGTCCAGTTCATTTTCCAGAACTGAGCAACATTTATTGACTTTTTCAAGATCACAAAGCCAGTCAGAGGTAGAACTGAGCTAAAGAGAGCTCCTGGGTCCTGGCTCTGCTAAAATGCCTAGAAGAGTCTATTTCCACAGCTGTGTATCTTTCCATCACTTTGCAATAAATTATAAACTTACAAATAAGGATGAAATGTAAGGAAGAGTTCAATAAAGTCGGTAGCTGTAAATAATGACCTCTTGCACAATGCATCCACTTGCTGAAGCAGTTGTTGTCATTCTTTGATACTAATATTTCTCCTGTTAAAACAGAAGAAAAATATCAAGAGGAAATCTATACAATTTTTTTTTCCCCCAAATAAAGGCACAAACCACTAATCCCACCAAGGATCTGATGGGGTTCCATCTTGACACTTTTTATTCTTCTTTGTAACATCACATTTTCATGACTTCTACTGTAACATTTTGTTCAAATAAAATAAAAGAAAAAAAAAAATCACATTGACCAGCAGCCACTGATAGACTGAAGTAGCATTCAACTCAAAAAATCCTAGGCTACAGCACTTCACTTCTGCTGTATCCTTCCAATCATCCATTCCAATGGATCCAGTCTAATCCTTCATCATCCATTTCAACATTATGTAAGGGACTGAAAATACCAACTATGCGTGGCATAATTCAGAACAAAGTAAACAAAAATTAGGATAAATCAATAAACTTTCCTGGTAAATATCTCCCTGCTGAGAAACATAATTAGCTAATAGTCACACATAATAGTTGATATACCGTCAGGTTTTTGTAACAGATTAAGTACTCCAAAACAGCATTTAAAACAACAGTTTTCATACTTAGAGGAACAGCTGGCTAGCTCTATAAAGAAACTTATTCAGCCCGCCTTTGCAACTAGACATACTCTTGCTCAGTTTGACCACGCCACAGAAATTTTACCCAATTCATTCTCATTTAAGAGTCAAAGTGAAGTCAGGAACTTTCTAACAAATCTCTTTATGAAGAGGCTGTGCTACGCTCAAATCACTGTGAATGAAAACCTGCCTGTCATCAAAACTCACAAAACGTGCAGGAAGAGAGCACAAGTAGCAACAACTTTGGCAACAGAATTTGAATGCCTAGATGTTTTGACTCACTAGAAGCTGGTGTGCCCCCTATTGCCACTAAAGCAAAACCCCACTCCTTTCAACCTTTGCTTTCAGAAGATTTAAAAAAAAAAAAACAAAATCCTAGAAGACAGTATGGTTACAGGCATCCAGTCTAAAGCTCAACTACATCCCTCCCAAACTAAGTACCCAACAATTTAAGAATTAAAAATCTATTTCTTAGCTAGTGTTCCTTCCTTTGTTCTGCTGCACATTCACTCTAACTCCCAGCTGTAAACTAATGGCCATCATCCATCAAATATTCATAATGGCGTTAAAGATACATCTTAAATCCAACAAGGCAAGTACTAGAAGTGCTTTTAGGTCTCAGAACGACATCTGAAAGCACCCGGCTTGTGTGACTAGATGGGAACAATGTAGAGATAACTTCCCATGTTACTAAAAGTATTCACTTGGTGTTTTGAAGACACAGGGATTTTTTCCAGTGGTGTTACCTTCTCTGCTCCGTGGACTAGGAGTTAAGACATCTGCTGAAAGACAAGAGCTGTTGGTTCCTGATTATTGTTCAGGGCACATTTTACACCACAATGGTACTGACATATTCACAAGCAACACTGCACATAGCTCTTCACATAACCATAGGTTAACGACTTTCTTGCAGATGCACTTCAGTAGCAAGTGGGCCTCAGCTGTGTGCGAAGGGGGGAGAAGTTGCATTTGTAGAATAATATTGATGTATCAATCTTGAAACAGGTGTTGGGATGACAGCAAGCTCACAAAACTTTATTAGATGTGTAAAGACATGACTTCACATGGGTACATGGGACCATAACCCTCCAGCTCGAGGAGGGCAGATCTTCCAAGCCTGCATGAGATTTGGGAGAACACATGCAGCACACAGTAGGCTGCAGCCTACAAAGTCCTACCTTTTCTTTTGGGCCACACAGAATTACACAGACACATCATGGTGAACGCAATTACTGGACTGGGTACACATGACGCCCTACTCCCACTGGCTTTGCGCCTCCATGAACTGAGCATGTCCACACAGAAAGCAACAGAGGCAGGAATAACTGTCTGGGATAACCACGGTACTGAAGAATTGAACCCCGCGGGCTGGAGGGAAACTGAACCCTCTCACCCATGTCCCCACGGGGAATTTCCCCGGCCCCAGAAGGGGCCTCCACACTAACGTAGCCCCCTGAGATAAGCGGCAGAGGGTCGACCCTTCCACCCTCCCTACAAGTCCTTCGGCTACTCGGCTACACGCCCTGGGAGAGGAAGCCCCCCCAGGCACCCCAGGGTACCTGAGGATCCCTTCCCTCCTCTCAGGAGAGAGGCCTGGGCACGCCGCAGCCCTCGGCGTGGGAGCGAGCCCATCCTCAGGCGGCGGAACCCTGTGTGGGGAAGGGGAGAGAGCACTGGGGAAGGGGGATGTCCTGCCCCTCACACAGCCGGCTGAAGTGGGCTGAGCGGGCGGGCGTGCCCCTTTCTGAAGGCCTTACCTGCCGGCTCCGGCCCCCCGGCCCCGGGAGAAGGCAGCCCGGCCGGAGGGGAGGGGGGGGGGCAGAGG